GGTGGTAAAAGGTTATCGAAGGTTAGAAGGTCGCGCAGAGCGAGACACGCACGATGACTCTATGATTACGATCCACATCAATTAGAACTTTCCGCTATCTAGCCAAAGTGGACATGGAAGTAAAATAGTTTCAAAGGGTCAATTCCAGACTCTCGATCAAAATTAATGAGTTTTTGATAAGCAGGCGTTAGCGTGTGAAAGCCTAGCTATATATGCTTATATGGGTACACGTGGATGTATGTGTTCAAGTGTCCGTGTGCACAAGCGTCCGCGTCCCTATGTATTCAATACCCCTGCACATGTGCGTGCGTGTATGTGTGCCTACGAGTGTAAGATTGAAGGTAAATACGCGTGTACGTGGTTCGTGTGGTGTGGATGACCGCGTGTTATATGCCCGTATGGTTGTGCATGTGTATGAATGTGTTTGTGTGCAATTAAGTATGAATATGTGTGAATGTGCGTGCGTGTGTGTCTGTGCACGTGTAGGCCACCTCATATTGAACACCTTTTGAAGTGTTTTGCTTTTATCTGAGTCCAATATCTGGACCAAAGTTGGGTGTTCCCGCTTAAGGATGGTCACCCTCTATCCAGAAATTTCTGAGTAATAGTGATGAATAATTTGTGCTGAAAAAAGGACCTTGGTTGGCACAGTATTCCGAAGTTTCAGTACAATTATACATGAAAACGATCTCACTGATTGCCTACACTGGGCTGTCTAATTAGCATCGACTTACAGACGATCGCTTGTGTTGGCAAAAACAAACAAACTACAGTTTTCTGGCACTTACCATTAAGTACAGAAGAATAATTCCATGATCTCCAAAGAGAGAACTCACATGGGCAGAAGAGAAGAGAGGTGTGGACGTCATCAATGGAAGAGGAGTCGGAGCAGAAAATGAATCAGATATGGTGTAGTCGAATGAAGATTTGGGTCCAGAAGATTCGAGCAATGTTCGAGTCGTTGTCCAATCCTCACTAGATGTGTGCAGTTGTAGCAATCGAACCGTAACATTCAATTTGTTTTTCTACTAGAGAATTGGATATGCTCAAGACAGAAGCTTCTCTCCAGGTGGCAGAGGTACACCCCTGAACACCTGATCACATGCTATAGACCACTTAAAATCGCGAAAAATTGGCGAAACGCACGAACAATGTCATTTGATGGTAATGTGGGAGTAGTTATAACGCTTCAGAGGAAAGGTCTAAATACAATGAAAAGATAAACACACTTACCGGAAGGCCACGTCGGGCTTGATTCGGGCCGAAGAATAAGACTCGAAAAATGCATTAGAAGGGGCGGATTTCTCGGAAGATTCCATTCCACCGTCGGATAAATGAAGTACTGGTCTTATTGGAGATAACTGTACCTCAGCCTTTAAATGGAAGACTGTACGACTGGATGGAATAAATTAGAAATTATAGTGAATTTAACGGAAACAAAGAAAAACGAGTACTTCTGAAAAACCAAGCACTGGTTTTGGCGATTTTGTTGAAATTACTGTATCTAGCCCAATAAGATTGACAGACGCAGAAGATTTTGTTCCAGTCGACGCAAAAAGAGGAACAGGTGGAGGGAGGGCAGGAATATCAGGTGCACCAGTCCTTGCGATTTCTGACAAAATTGACACTAAAGTCGTAGAATTTTATTATTTGTCAGCACTTTTTCAAAAATGTAGGCGAGAATGTCGCTCGCAGCAGGACCAATCAAAAGAAGCTGTTTCAATCTGTTCTGCTTTCACCGCGTATAGAAGGTACAGTTATTAGGCGAAAAGACTATTTTCTTTTCTCAAAATCCACTTGTTCTCTAAAAAAACTAAACATTTTGTGGTCTTGGACAGATTTCAGTCTTTTATAGACCCAAGAACAGTGAAGATTGCGCAGTGAATGAAAGCTGGAAGAAGTACTGCCCGGCAAGTACAGAGGCATAGTATGTGACCATTTAACGGTTTCCCCTTTAGAAATGTATTCGACATTCGACTTGAAAGCGAAAGTAAAACCTTTCCCTTAAGATCTCCCTTCAGATTTCCTACACTACTGTTTAGTTTGGAAATGAGAATGAACTAATCGATTGCATAAAACCTTCAGCGTTGTTTTTTTCTGACCAAGTCTGAGTTTCTGAGTAGAAGAAATGAGACACAAAATAAGTCACTAACCTATTGCTTGCGTAATAGCAATTGGTCGTACATCAGGGTGAGCCCAGACAAATTCACCGAAGTCCTCATCAGGAGCAGGCTGTGACATTAGGAGTTTGAATGAGAGGGGGATCATCCGAAGTACAGTCAACGTGTAATCGCAGTGAAAACAACTCACCTCCTGTCGAAATCCCAACTCAGGTGAAGTCGATCCTATTCTTGTTTCATCGGAAAATTGGAAAGAATTCACTTCCTTCGACGAGGGATCACTTCTACAGTAACACTGGGCAGCCGAATTACAAACTACTACGTATTATATACCTGCTACTGTCGTATGCTGACTTATTCATATAGTTGCCACTAATATCGCCTTTCCATTCATCGCCATAGTTGTCTATGTAACTACCTAAACAATTCAAAGATGAGCCACTAGTATAAGACACTGAGGCACATGAACAAGAAATTTCAGAACCCACAGTTGTTGGCCGCAACACAGCCCATTCGCATATCATTTGACGTGTAGCCCTGGTAGCGATCTTTGTTATCAGATTTCATCTTTTTCCTCTGAGCGCGTAATTTATCATCGTCATTGAGAAGATCCAAAATTACTTTTGCACGATGACGAACTTAAATACCTCAGATAGGGATGCTATGAAAGGCAAAACGCATTCAAAATAACCAAGGAATAGCTAGGCTAGTATTTTCTATACAAGACACTTCGTTCGTTTCCTTTGCCACAGTCATGAACGCCGATAAGATGTAGAGACTTTGGGAAAGACTGCGCGTTACGTTGAGGTGTACCCCATTGCACCCGCAAATCACTAAATACCGGGTAAGTTTCATATTTTCATTGAACTGAGGTTGAAGATCTGGTCGTATCGACAGAATTTGTAAACTGGCTACAGAAATGGAAATGAAAGTCAAATCTGCTGAGTGAGTTTTCTAAACAAGTATTTGATCTTGCGTGAAGCAGGGCCTGCTTAGAACAGCATTGCTCTCAGATGTCGCCAGGGTGCGAATTTTTGAACGATTGAGATCACTTCGCACGCGGCGGGGAGCGACCCTAACTAGTTGAAATCTCAATGCCCCCGCTCCCGCTTATGTTATTAGATGAGTGAAAGGATAATACTTGAAGAGAACAACAACAGTAAAAAAAACAGGAGTGCCGAGAGAAATTAAGAACTTTTAACAAAAAAATTTCAAACCATTAGTCATGAGTTTTAGTTTCGTGCGCAATAAACAAATTATATTAATTTGTAGCTAAAATTTTGTAGTCATGCACGAATGAGCAAGTGTTCCGCTTCGCTTCACATTTCACCTGAGCAAATTAATAGGTGATGTTACCTACTGGAGACCGAGCCTTTTACATGGTGTCCCAAAATTATTGGCGCCAAAATTCAGAAATTTCTAAGGTAGAAATAACCCATCAAATCAACATTACCTGTTATTGATTAGTTGCATAGGAAGGTTTCCTTGCAATATGTATGGTTAGGGATGTGGAACTCACAATATCTTTTAGATGGAGAAGACTCATTCAATGCCACTTACAATCATTAACACGCGAGAGGTGGAAGGGCATCATGAAATTCATTGGGATTTATATAATAACCATATAGGAGGCTATTAAACGATATGGAAAAGAAGGACAAACTAGGAAAGGGCGAAAGGTAGAATGTTTCTGAAGATAGGACTATTAAAATGGTTCGTCTGCCAATCGGTCGGGATCCTGGGTGACCCATCAGAAGGAAGTCAATGGGCACGGCTTACAGGAGTTATCGCGATGGAAGAATGTCATGCGGAAGCAGCATTGCCATTCCTATCGTACACAGAAATTTCGTTTCAAATCCGATCTCAACAGACACTGCAGGGCCAAAAAAATGCAGAAAGTCGTAGACCCACTTGAGTGATGACACGCAACCCTTCGTTGTTTTCACTGCCCAAAAATTTTTTGCGATAAAACCATCCCTCAACAACCAAAACGTTCGTGTTCCGGAAATAAACATCTAGCGTGTAATATCTCACAAAAAGGTTGCTATAAAAACAGTGAAATGTTGTTTTTCGAGGAAATCACTGGCAAGAGTAAGCCACTCGTGGTATCTTCGGTGCAGGCGTGAAAATTGACCGAGACCAGTACTCAAACAGCGTACTGATGGAAGTAATGAAACATTGATCCGACTACGTTTTCTGAAACTTTCAGCAGGACGCTACTCCAGCCCAACACAGCCAAACTTGTCCGAGAGTGGGGCCAACCACAGCTGCCCGACTTCATTGGTGAAGAGGAATGGTCACCATATTTTCCAGATTTTGACTCACTTGACTCCCACGAATGGTCCCTGATTAGAAGAGGACCTGTCGGGTTTGCAGTCCCAGTTTGGAGGCCTAGAATGCAAAGGCTGAAGAACGGCTCGGAAGAAATGGAGAAGGATACCTGCGTGACACATGCGATCAAGTCGAGAGCAAACTATCCGCGCTCATGGGTGATATTTTGAAATGCGAATGTAGCATGTTGTAGCACATAATGTTAGCTAGCGTGCATAGAAATTCCATCGTCTTTCGCAGCTGAGAAGTTTCAAATATATTGCTATAAATCGACGCCAATAATTTTGGGACACCCTGTATTTTGCCCTTACATTACCTTTTAATTTTTCTTATAACTGTAGTTGGAAATGAATGATTCCGGACCACCATGCCTCAAGTTTCCCTAAAAGGCTGTGAGCTCAGCTGATACTTGCAAACATGAAAAAATTAGGGAACACTTGATAAATAATATTAATACTACAGGAGCACGATATGGTGGTGGCCCGCCGGCGGGCCACGCGGTCTTCAACGGGTTAATAAGAAGAAAACCAAATTTTCAACAAGTTATATTGAAACTTACGAATCTCTCTCACGGGGCTCTCTCTCTCTGAAGGATCTTCAGCAGGCTAGTGACGAGACAATGTAGGACGACCTCAGGTGGCGGATAGGGGATTAGATCGCTGACCAAAGTTACCGGTAGTCGCCCACCCACGCGGGTGGGCTTCGGAAATGGGCTGCCTGTTTCTGCAGTACTGAGTCGATCTATACCTTCTGTACCTGGTGAATTCATGCATGCGGGTGTGGAGAATGTGAGGGTGCAGTTGGTTTCTTGCACCTTGGCTTAGCCAAAAGCCTGACAGCCAAAGATCAAGTACGACGTCGTCCGACTGACTGAAACGAGAAGGCATTCGAAACCGGAAAAACTGTTCCTTTGAACGTGTGACAGCAGTGGCTTCGGCAATGGGGGTGTCCTCGTCAGTGCGCACTTGGCCATGAACATCGATTCGTACAAAAGCTTGGCAACCTGAACCGGACGTTTGCTATTGGGAAAATGCGGCTCAACCCCAGCTCTAATAATCTTTGCTGCTTACGCACTAACGTTAAGCTACGAAAAAGGACTGACCCTTTTTATTTTTACCTGAAAAGGCTCTTGAGAGAGGAGCACGCCTCTCCAAATCCATCGTCAGTGATTTCAACGCCGAGATTGTAATAAAAGGACGTCTGAAGAGCTACATATCGGGAAATGGAATTGCTAGGGTGAAAGGCTGCCGAAAATGAAAACCCACGCCATTCATGGTAACTCGCAAGACATGAGGGTCACCTGGCAGACAGTCCTATAGTAAATTAGATCACATCATCTTCGACCGAAAATTTGATATGACTGACGTCGCTAATGTTCCGAAGTCCTACATGAAACCAATCATTGTCTTCTCCGCGCTAGATTCTGTTTTTCAATGCGTGAAAAGAGCGCTGCGAAGTTCAGGAACCGAAGCCTCGAAACCGTCATCAACTGTGATCCATTTTCTTTTATTGCGAGTCTCGCTTAAGATCCCGTTATCGTCAACATTGATGACGCTGCCGTGAACCCATAACTCCGCATGTCGAAATTTCGCTTGAGACACCTGTTAGGAATGCACAGGCCTCGCTTGGTCCCAGACTGTTCATCAGTCGTACTCCGAGAACGTTGCTCCATCCGATTACCATGTGCTCCGCCTTCTCAAGCGTCCCTTTGCTGGAAAAAAGTTCGGTATTTAACACTTACTTACTTAACATTCACCGTGCAGCCCATATGTGGACTGCACCTTGTCGGCCACGAGGGACTTTGCAGCCCACATATGGGCTACACCACGTAATTCAATTTTTTTGTTTGGTTTTTTGTTTATATGATTCTCTCTCAAAATATAAATGATAGGCACAAACTTGATAAATAAACAAACGGAGTGGTTTAAAAATAAAACCTCTAGCAACAAATTTATAAGAAAAAAGTGACTATATATTGGTTCTTCTTCAAGTGAATTGTCATTGAATGCTGAAACAATTTGAAACTCGGTATAACTCCTATCAATTACACAGCCTATGAAGCCTATTGAAGCACTCTACACGGAAAAATGATTTGCACTTGCTGCACCGCGTATTTACCCTTCTCGCATGACGGAGCGCACCGGCTCGCCCCTCTTCTGAAGACCTGAGTGCGTAGCAGTGTGTGCATCTCTTTCTTGTGATGGCTTTTGGTCCAGGCATTTCCTCTAAGTGGTGTTTTGTAGAAGGTGTGAGGTTCAGGTGCGTTGAAAGGAGAGCTTCTACTAATTCCATTTCGAAGTCGTTCAGTTTTACCTTTTTGACGACAACATCGTAGAGCTTCCACGCGTTGATGACTGCGACTTGTGCGCTCAAATGGAAGAAAATCCTTACCCACCATTTAGCAGTTCTACGCAAAAAGGGGTGTATGCTGCGAGCTGGTCGGAGACGTCTACAGAGCATTTGAGGTTGTTGGAGTCTTCGACAACCGCGGGTTTACCATTGCAGTTGATGCTTCCATCGTGCTTTGTTGACAGTAGCAGTATTTCGCGTTTGCCCTTCCATTTCATAACGAGAATACCTTGCTTATTTTGCTGGGAATAAACTTTGTTCCTTTTTAGTCTTTTTTCTTCGATTGCCTTTGGAATTCCTTTTCTGTTCTTCCGCAAGGTACCTATCAAGTGCGTACGCCTTTTCAGGAACTTTTCAAGTGAAGTGCAGAAGTTATCCGTACACAAAGTACGTCCCTCATCCATGAATTTTTCCATGAGCTCCATGACAGCTGAGTCCGCAATAGTGCCCATTCTTGAGGGGTCTCTCCCTGCATATACCTTCACTTTGGCTGTGTATCCGCCTCGTCCACATATTTTGAACAGCTTGATACCGTAGCGATGCCTTTTGGACGGTATGTACTGCCTGAAGGAAATTCGCCCTCTGAACGGCACCAGGGATTTGTCTATACAGACTTCGCTGCCGATACAAAAAGCGCTCATTGCTATCGCGTTGAAGAGGACCAAGATTTTCCGGACTTTGTGCAGCTTGTACCCATCGAATTCGTCGTTGTTGGCAATGTGGAGGGAACGAAGAAGCTCTTCGAACCTTCTTCTAACCATAACGTGACCGACATGCGAATGACCACCTAGAGCTGGTCGTTGGCTCCAGTAATCATGCAGTCGTGGTAGTCTGACTATTCCCATCTGAAGGCAGATTCCGAAGAATTCCCTCATTTCGTCCTCCGTCGTATCTTGGAAGTCCAATCCAAATTTCTCCGTTCTGTGCTGGCCATATCTGTTTCGGCGACAATGAGCTCCATCATTTCAGCGTCAAGAAACAGATTGTAGAAGTCGACAGGATGGCTGCGACTAAAAACGTGGGCGGCTGGTCCATACTCTCGTGTGGAAATCCATCGGTCATGAGTTGATGTAGTTGTTGACCAGGACATTTCAGGTTCATCACCAGATTCCGATTCACTTTCGAAGTCAGGATCCTCGTCTTGTCGTTGCGATTCTTCTGCGGACTCATCCTGACCATGTCCTTCGCTTTCTTCATCAGATTCGAGCAGCAGTTGAAGAAACTTTTCTTCAAACCGTTCTTCTGACGTATTCATGATCGTTGAAGACATTAGTAGCCTGACTAATCAATCTCCTGTCGTAGTCCCACAGCAGGAGTGAGTATTTTCGAAAAACCCGCCAAAATAGCCTGCTTCTCAAGAAACATGCCACGAAAGCCCGTGAAGCCCACGTATGGGCTGCAGTTGCTGCGTTCAAGCGAGCGCTGCGGTCCCTCGCGGCCTCAGTTACCGAAACGAGCGCGGGCTCCAAAGTGTTAATATGATCTGGACACGGCATTCAACAATTTCTTCTCCCTAGCTTCTGCACAAAAGACATCGGTGATTTCCTTAGAGGATAAGGGGTAGCTACTGATCTTTCCGGTGAGTACATTTGTAATTTCCACGTTCGTTCTTTTTGAAATATGGGCATGTCACATAATATTTCACAATGCTTTGCCGAATGCGTTGCATGTTATGATGAAACCGTCTATTAGGTCGACGTTTCGACTAACTCGTCGTCTTCAAGGACCTGAAAGTAGTTCGGAGCTCCTAATCTGTGGCTTACCCGACCAGGGCCAGTTGCAACAACTTGCAACAATTTGCGAAGGTGAGGGATAAGTCAACAATTAAATAAGAGAAACATACCGGCAATGAATGGAGCGTTCCCGCAGTGGGCGGTACTTTCCATAGAGACTCATAACTTGATTCAACGAAGGCGTTGAGACCAGGAAGGAAACAAGAGTGAGCAAGGACTTATGAGTGCGAAAAAAGTGGTTAGAGGTAATGGAACAAATGTGGTCAAATCCTCAAAGTGGGCGGGGCTTAGATCAAGGTTTTATAACTCTGTTCAGAAACGTCCTAGAATGCTGAAAAATGCGGTTAGAGGTGATGGAACAAATGTGGCCACATCCTCGAGGTGGGCGGGGTTGGCACAGGGAAGCGGGCTAGGACCGGAAATTCATCTCTTCAAAAACTTACTAGAATTCGAAGAAAATGGTTAGGAGCAGTCAAAATAAGGGTGGTCAAGTTTTCATAATATAGTGGGAAGGGTCTGTAGTGAACGGGGCTGTGATCGACCACTAGTAATTCTATACCATTCTGATAATCCAGCGTTCCGCTGAATGACTCCATCGTAAATAAGCGGTCGTCGTCATACAATGTACGCGTTAGCGTGCGGAGCCCAACTGATCGTGAAATATTACATCTGTAATATTTGTCGATTTGGAGAGTTATAGAAATGAACCTAAAAACGCTACTGGCGCCCGCTCGAGGAAATCGATCATCAACGGGACAGCAGGTAATACACGTGCACATTAAATCGATCCCACTTATTCGCTCGAATTATACTTCTTTAACTCGCTTGATGACTATAAGAGGACAGGGTAAAAACATGAAAGTCTCACACTTGAATAGAGTCGCCTCCGCCGAGGTTCGAAGAGATGTACTGTGCAAAAGTTGCACACCAACTCGGAGTGGCGTAGTGAGAATGCTCTCGTTCCTCACGTGAAGATGTCGCTTTGTTCTCTGCTATCGCCACAATTTTTGCATCTTAAAACTACGAAAAGCGCTTCAGATTGCGGCGGATGCCCTAATCAGCCTTCCTCCTCGATGTTTTGCAAAACACAAGCAACCTCTTTTACCTACTTACAATCTCTTAGGCGTAGTCTCGGCCACAAAAAGCAAGTCTACTCCTGAAGCATGTCCCCTCCATCAGCAACAGTTGATTCATCGACTTGAGCAGCGGCCATCACATTGTCAAGGCCTCGAAAGGCCGATCTAAGACACGTCGCGATCTTTCACAACAAGTTCGAAGAAACAAGAAAGAAAGTGTAACGAAGTGAAGGAGTCTCAGCGAAACACAAACATTAGGTCGTAAAATTTCGAAAAAAAGCATTTTCTAGAGATTGGCTAGATTTCTTCGTCTTTCGGGTTTATTTTTTATAAACGTATGAATAGGTCAGCTAGGATCTTCTGGACCATTCAACGCTAAATACATTCTATGGTCATTTCACTAATTATGTATCTTCAATCGTGTGACTTCCGCTTGAGCTGCTTGGAATTCAAGGGTTTCGAGACAAACGAATTCCTGTTACATACGGAAGTTCGACTTGCTGAAGATCTTGAACACCAGAGACACTGAGTGTTTGATAAATCATAACCGGAAGCGCCAACGACCCGGAAGCGCCAACGACCCGAGCCTGATGAGCAAAGAAAACGATATCACAAATCTCAGTTGCACCCAAACGGTAATGTTTAGCGAGTGGTGTGGAATCAAAAATTTTCATTGCAAGCTACTACCCTGCTACAGTCACTGTCGAACTACACTGTCATGACTAAATCATATGAGAAGCAAACTCAAGAGCAAACAAAGCAAGGCGCTAGATTTATAAACAATTAGCTTTCATTCACTTCGTTTAACGAAAATATCCTTCTTTTCGAACGTATAAGGATGTGTTGGAGTCATATTCACATTCGCACCATGCTTTCCACTATGAAGGGAGGAGGACAGCAGCAGATATCAGAATGACTTGGGCAGAAGGGAAATAGGTGAAAGACAACGTCATGAACGTTCGTACACTTTAAATCGAGTGAAACCGGCTTGGGCGACAACTGAGGATGATTGACGGGCTGGAATATCTGGGAACCGCCGACGAGGACGAGGATGAGAAAACACGGATACTGGACGAAAACCGTGACTCAACTGGAAGTTGTCCGTTTTCTTTTAAAGCACGTTGCTGAAACAGGATGTGTGAGTCCTCCACGAACACGAACATCAATAAAGCCTGGTGCGTCCGTATTTTCATCCATTGGATGCAGCGCAACAGACTCTAGTTCTACAGAATCTTTCACTAGGAATGAATCGTGGCTTCTGTTAAGAAACGCCAGAAGACAAAAGTCGCGCCGCTGCGAGTGAAACATCTGAAGGAGTACCGAAATGTTCACACATCAGAAGGAAACACATCATTCTCCCAAATGGTGCCCACAGACTACCAAATCAAAGGCTCGCTGAAAATCGGTAACCACACGAAACTTGTGAGGATTTGGATGACATGGTGAGCGACGTTAAAGCCTGTATTGTTCCAAGAACAGGAAATTTTCCATTCGTGGAATCGATCGTCAGTGAAATGTATGGAGAACAGATAGTGATTATGATTCAGAATAAACACTTGAAATTGTCTATGTTAGATTTTAGATGATTTTTTCATAACAGTATAGCTCACGATGATGATAATACTTAGTTTAACTTTATTACGTCCTCCAGATACTCTTCAGACATGGCTTCCAAAGGCTTTCATCTGCCCCAGCCGTTTCAGATTCATGAGGAAGAAAAATGCTTTTACAACTCGGATCATCCAAAATGTAAATGGAAAGTTTTTTATGAGTAAACCGCAGGACCTTTGCGCGTGAGTATAAAAGTATCACCTTACTGCATTACATACTACGACTCATGTATATCTTGCATTAACCTGTTGAAAAAAAAACTTTGAAACTTACTTCCCTTATTTCTGACCAGATTGTTCCTTTTTAAATCAATTGAAGTAAAAAAGTTTCTCAAACATGCGACCCAATAGAAACTAGATATCACTAAACGAAAGATGCTGGACTATTATCACGTTATATATCATGATTAGTTTCCAATCATCACCTCAGCATACGCGTCGTGAATTTCGGTCAGAATTGCATACGTAGGCTGTCTTTTTATTCCGGGATTAGAGAACAAAAATAAATATTAATCATTGGGAATCGCTTGATTGTTTTCAAAATATTCCCCATTAAGATCTATACACTTTTATACATTTGAACTAACTGCCGGAGTACTTTTGCCACTCTGACTGAGGTATCTCCAAAACATGCATTCTGAACGAATCAACCGCTCTTCAGGTGTCGAAAATCGTTGGCCCCTCACTTTATTTTTTATGTACGGGAATAAAAAGAAGCCATTCGGGGACTATATGGCGAATGACTCATTAAATCGATGTTTTGAGTGCTCAAAAATGCAGTTTTTTGAGCCGATGTGTAGGAGCTCGCATTGTGGTGGTGAAGAGGGATCCGTCTTCGGCAGTTTGCTTTCCTGATTTTTTGGTAGGCAACTGGCAAACAAATGAACTTTTTCTAGTGGTACGGTTGCAAAATGTCCAGTTTTTTCAAAAAACAGGCGACCATTTGCTTGAAAGTGCTTCGTGCGCTGACAGCTTTCGTTGGACTCATCTTGAAATACCCATACGATCGACTGCTATTTGCTTTGGGGCTCAAACGCGTAATTCCATGATCCATCACATGTCTTGAAGTCATAGACGTGTTTCGAAGCACCGCGATCGTATTTTTTGAGCATTTCTTTCGACCAATCGACGCGAGCCTTTTCTAGATTGTGGGGTCCAACGTGAAACATTTTTTTGACAGTCAAATGTTCATGCAATATTTAATGTATGTTGGTCCCACTAATGATTAAGGTTGCCTTAATCTCACGATAGGTCACATGACGATCTTGCAATATTAGTTTGCGCACAGCATTAATGTTTTTCGGAACAACAACTGATTTTGGCATACCATCGTTCAAGCACTGGTCCTTGATGGAGCTTCATCGCCAAAGGGAGGTGGGGGG